CCTAAGGTTGCTAAAACAAACGAGAGTAATTTTCATAAATCACTATTTTCGTGAATATTAACTTTTTATATCTACTATATACATAATTACTTCCTATAACTACTATTCAGTTATTACGATAGTGTATTCGCGCGGTTGTATTCATGAATACAACAATAAAAAACGCCTAAAATCATGGCAGTCTAGCTGTACGCGCATGTATTCACATATATTCGCGCTGATGTATTCATGAATACAACAGCAAAAAGCGCCTAAAATCAGGGCAGTCTAGCTGTACTTACATGTATTCACATGTATTCGCGAGGTTGTATTCATGAATACAACAGCAAAAAAACGCTTAAAATCAGGGCAGTCTAGTTGTACGTGCATGCATTCACGTGTATTCACGTTGTTGTACTCATGAATACAGCAGCAAAAAGCAACTAAAATCAGGGCAGTCCAGTTGTACGCGCATGCATTCAAATGTATTCGCGACATATATTCATGAATACAATAACGAGAATCACCTTAAAAATAAGTATGTCCAGCTGTCTAATAATGAAAATAATATCAATTAGCGTGATACACTCCTAGTATAACTCAATAGAATCAATTCTTACATGCCTCATTATCAACCCAATTAATTATAATAATTTTTCAGTTGTATATAACTGTTGTATTTAACTTTAGTATTTAGTGTGTTTCACTATTTTTTTACTATTGCATTCATTAATTCAATGTTTGTATTTACTGTTTCGCTATTTTATATTCAGTGTATTCAAATAAATTTGTATTAACAGTGTTTTAGTTATTCCTAATACATGTTATTACTGTTGTATTCAGTATATTTCATTGGTTATATTCACTGTATTTCTATTTGTATTCAGTATATTTTATTGTATTTTACTGTTTATATTCTGTTCTATTTTAATATTTGTATTCAGTGTATTTTAATATTTATATCGTGTATTCATGCATGAATACATGTGTATTCAGCTGTATTAAAAAAATATAAACCTTCAAAATACATAAATACAGGCAAAAAATAATATATTTATACAAAAATATAATGTATTTGAGTAAATTTGTACATAATATAATGTGTTTGTATCATTGTACATGACTAAATAGCAAAGAAGGAATATGGCATTTTCCGGCCAAGCCAAATATTGTATACATTATATTAAAACAAAAAATGGAGACGAACAAAAATCGCGGCCCTCAAATCTTCTCTGGCGTAAAATATATTACATTATCTGTGTAGAGAAATCCATTGCAATATCCGACGTAGAGAAAGGTGCAGTCTCTTTCTTTTTAATATTGCAGTACAAATCCATTGCAAATATCCGACGTAGAAACTAAGCAGTACAAATCCATTGCAATATCCGGCGTATAAACTAAGCAGGTATTCTGGTCGAACAGAGAGAGAAGAGGAAGAAAGAGAGAAAGAAGAAAATCTTTGTTGGGATTTTGAGAGAGAGTCGTGTGTTAATTGAAAGAAAGAGAGAGATAGAGAAGAAGAAATATGAGAGAAAATCTTGTGTTAATTGAAATTGAAAGAAATAGAAAGGAAAACCATAAACAACATATTTCATACCTCAATGATAGTATATACCATAAATACATATTTTGTTATAAAATATAAAAGGTAACTATAAAAAATAATATTTTAAAATAATTTTGGTTTATAATAAATAGGGTGTATACCTTTGATATAGGAGGTAAAATTTCCAACAAACAACGACCTAATGTCGGGATAATTTTTCTCTTCAGATAGCGAATATATTAGAGAGAAAAAAACCCCTCCAAACCACTTCTCTAAAAAATTCAGTTAAATATATCAAGCACGGCCGACTCCAATGTTATGGAAGGTAAGGCTTATGCCTTAGGCCCCCTGGGGCCCCATTTTAAAAAAATAATAGGTTTATAGGTATTTAAAAAATAATATTTTGTACTTTTAATACAAAAGTAGAGTTTTTTATTATGAAAAGAAAGAAACTCTTTAGATATATAAATAAAGTAATAAAATAACGTACTTAAAAATGGGTAGATGAATAGTTTTCCTAACGTTTTAATTTTTTACTTTTTACTCTTTTATTAGATAACGTGTAAAAAATTTACTCTCTTTTTTAATTTGTCCAAGTCATTCTTTCTTATTTTCAATCTATTCATATTTCATAAACCCCTACATATTTTATGTCTTTTCTCGTTGATATTCTTACTTACCTTCTTTCTCCAAGATTTCATTAGTTCAAGTGCACAACAATACTTTTAAGCTTCTAATAGTTCTATACTTCTATTGCTCTATAAAATCTTATCTAAGATCAACGATTTCTCAAGAAAGATTAAATGATAAATTGGCTATATTATCAATTGAAAAGGAATTATTAAAAAAATTAATTATAAAAAAGATTATTAATAATTTTGTATCTGAAAAAGTTAGAAGAATAGATTTCAAATAAAAACAATCTTATAACTTTCTTTTAAAAATTTAGGCCTCATATTAAACTTTAGCTTTAGGCCCCGCATATTGTTGAGCCTCGTAAACTAAAAGAAGAAATGGCGTGGGATAACCACTTTTTAACATGGTATTTAGTTTTTATCTAGTATTCTTAATGCTGAGCACAAATAGCCACTACTCTATTAAAATTAATACGAAAAGACGTTATTACCCTTTCTTCATTAGTGTTGTGTAAATATTACATAATGTCCTTAACATTTACACTGCACACATGAAGTTAAGGACACCGTGTCTTTAATATTTATGCTACACATATGAAGTTAAGGACATCATACCCTTAATATTTATACAACACTCATAAAGTTAAGGACACTATGTCCTTAACATTTACACTATACATATGAAATTAAGGACATGAGATCCTAAAGTTTAACAATAGAAGGTGCAAATACAAATTAAGGACATTATTTTCTTAACATTTACACTGCACACATGAAGTTAAGGACGTCGTGTCCTTAACATTTACACTGAACATATGAAGTTAAGGACATGATGTCCTAAAGTTTAACAACGGAATGTGCAAATACAAGACACTTAGTCCTTAATATTTACACAGTATTTATGAAGTTAAGGACATCATGTCCTTAATATTTACACAGCACTCATAAAGTTAAGGACACTATGTCCTTAACAGTTACACTGCACACATGAAGTTAGAGACACCATGTTCCTAATATTTACACTACACATATGAAGTTAAGGACATGAGGTTCTAAAGTTTAACAACAGAAGGTGCAAATACAAGTTAAGGACATTATATTTACACTACACACATGAAGTTAAGGACGTCGTGTCCTTAACATTTACACTGAACATATGAAGTTAAGGACATGAGGTTCTAAAGTTTAACAACAGAAGGTGCAAATACAAGTTAAGGACATTATATTTACACTACACACATGAAGTTAAGGACGTCGTGTCCTTAACATTTACACTGAACATATGAAGTTAAGGACATGATATCCTTAATATTAGCACAAGGGTATTTTTGTCCGAGCAGGTAAAAAATTATTAAGCACTAGTTAAAAAGTTAATACATTTTAAACGGTGGCTAAAGAATAAAGACATCTCTAATTAGTGGCGAACCGTGCACTTCCCCCAAAACTAAAAAGTTTGTCAAATCGATTTATATACTCATTTTAACCTATCTATGCATTTGATAATATTCACACCAAAATCAGCCAAATATTTAACTATCTTATCCTTAATATTTTTTATCCCAAAAATCTTTTTCTAAAACAAAACTTTAACTTCCTCTACTTTCCATATTCATTATTTCGTCTTTTTTCGACAAAAAGTACATTTAAGTTTATAATTTTTTGTTAAAAATTTAAGGGTATTTTTATTTTTTAGCAATAGAATAACTTATAACTAGTTTTTTACTAAACATATCAACTGTTTATTGTGAATTTTAATATTTATATCCATACAGTAGCTAGCATCTGGACATAAATTTGGTTGAAATTTAAAAAAAATAAGGTAAAAAATAGTTTTTTCTATGTGTTTGGACATGAATTTTACCTGAAAAGAATTCTAAACTAGCGTTTGGTCATAGATTCCCAAATTTATTCTGAAAAATCTGATTTGGGTGAACTTTTGTTTGAAGATAAAAATGTGTTTGGACATCTGTTTTGGGTGAAATTTGGTTTGGAAAAATATGAAACATGACTTATACCCACAAGTTCTATAAACTATCACAAATACCCAACAATACCATTATCAATAACATTCATTATATTATCACAAACCATAGTCCTAAACATAAATAATTTTGATATAAAATTATCATTTTTATAATGAACTACATGATACACTATCAGATGACCGAGATGACGAAGCAACATCGTTACAAAATAATAAATGGTGAGCTCTTTTATAAAATATAAAAGTTTGGGGCAATTTTTAAAAAATATAATAGTGATATTTTGGCCCAAAACCAGCTATTGAGCTAGTTTTGGAATTTGAGATTTGGCCAAAATGTAGGCAAAATCTATGGCCAAATATGTGTTTGCCAAATAAAATTCAAGTTTATTTTGTCAAAATCTATGGCCAAACGTGTCCTAAGTTTTGTGAGTAGAAAACTCCCAAAACCACTATAGAGTTGTTTTTGGGATTTGAAGATTTTATTTTTAAATCTGCCAAAAAATAATTAAAATTTATAAACAGGTGGATGGTTCCAATAATGGAGTTTATTTTGGCCTTTTCACATAAAAAAGAGTTTAGGATTTTTTTATTTTTTTTTCCGAAATCAGTGTTTGACCATAAAATTTTTAATTTTCATTTAAAGATAAATTTTATAGTTTTTCGAAAATTTTAAAAATTACAAAAAATTATTTTTCAAAACATTCGCTCAAATAACTCATAAAACTTTAAAACAACCCAAAATTATATTCATATCTAAATACAACTTTAATTTTCAAATACCAGTTTCGCTTAAAATTCTTTTTCACTTTTGTTTTTGCAATTTTCAATTCTTATGTCCAAACCCCGCTAGATTAGCGAATATCAGAAAACAAAAAACCACGCGCGGCCCTTTCTTTCCTGTTCTTGTTGGTCTGTTCCATGAAAGTAATTACAGTGATGATTTCGAGAAACACACACTCACTCTGCTTCCATAACTTGTACCATATGCTACGTTTGTAGTACATTTCTGCTACATTCTTCTTTCTTTAATTGAAATTTTCCTTTCAGCTATCAGTAAGCATTTGAGCTGAATACAAAATCATCAGATTCCCATATGTCTAAGGTTTATCGCGTTAAAGGTCAGTACTTTCTGAAATACCTTTACTTTATACTGCTAAAGGGTCTTTTTTTTTTATTTTAAAAAATATAAATTTAAAGATTCTCATTTCTGATATTTCTCCTAGGTTGTTTGATAAAATTAAAGAGGAGTTAGTTGTTTATTTCTTTTACCAGTAATATCGTGTACAGTAATTTTTAACCCTAATAAGAAAGTTTATTACTAGCATCCAAGGGTGTAATTAAGTGGATACAAACCTTGGAGACCGGGGTTCAAGTCCGTACCTAAGGTTTGATGAGTAGAGTTACCCGATACTGTGTTGGCCGGAGGTAGTAGGTATTCGGTGGAATAGTCGAATATAGTTGAGGTGCGTGCAATCTGACAAGGACACTACTTTAAAAAAAAAAAAAGGAGAAAAACCCAAGCTGGTCTGGACATTACTACTTGTAAAATTGTTTTAAAAATAAAGTGAATGTTGAAAAATATATGATGAAACTATATATGATCTTGTTGAAACTGCAAATTTGGCTTAAGGCATGCGATATGTTTTTGGGGTGTATAAAATCTTGAAATATTGCAACTTATTAGTGATGAAGGCGGTAAACAGGCAAGACGCTTCTTTAACAGTTACACAACATGTTTGTAAAAGGGTTTTAGAGCTTTGGAAATGTTCATGGATCAAGTGACATTGAGAAGGAGTTGATGGAAGTACACATAAAGTGCAAAGGTTTTGGCTAAACGGGTGCAATGTGTTTATGCTCGGTTATAAAAAACTTGTAGCTTGTTAGAGATAAAGGTTGTAAGATGGAATGCCATTTTGTTGAGGTGGCCGCACAACACGTTAATAGGAGCATGCACAGCCTTGAAACTTCGGAATTTCTAAAGTCAGAAATTTCTACTTCTGTCTTAGCTTATTGTGCACAAAAACTAATTTTACTTCCTTTTTTGGTTAATACACAATTTATGTAATATCCTCACAAGGTAGGGGTAAAGTCTGCGTACACACTACCCTCCCCAGACCCCACGGTGTGGGATAATACTGGGTATGTTGTTGTTGTTGTTGTTGTTGTTGTTCACAATTTATGTAATGAAGACTGTTATACAGCACACACTAGGTGAATGAGGCATAAATTCTCCTGCTTATAACAAGTGATATTGTTTTCGCCTTGGGAATGCTTGATTGGTTGCAACGGAGAGAAAGTGGAAAGAAACTAATCTCAATCTGTATGCAGTGAAAATAAGTATATCCGACAGCTTTTTCTGATCTATTTACCATGAGTATTATCACCAAAAAACCACTTGCTTCCTTTTAGGTACTACTTCTTTTTATAAATACAATTATGAATTCTGACTTAGATGATAGTTGTCTTAGAGAAGTCGAAGGATATGATTTTCATAGTAGAAAATGCTTTAAGGGAAGGCAACTGTTACTTTCCAACTTTATATTTTCTGGGCTGGTTGTATCCTTGCATCTTAGAAACATACTTTGAGTCTAAGTAGTATATGATAACTCAACTGTGATATGTAATGGTTCTTGCAGTAGGAAAAGTCTATTGTTGAATTATCATCTGTTTTACTATTGGCTGAATCATCATTTGATTAAACTGCGATGACAGTTCTTCGTAAGAGAGTAGAGAGGGCTGAGCGGAAGCGAATGCAAAACTATAAAGTGCACCCGGAGCGACTATCTTCGCTTGAAGAATTGCTTAATGAGATTTATACAATTTGCCGCCCTAAAACAAGTGATTATGAAGTTAGGAGAGATTTGGTTTCTGTCTTCAATGAGATAGCAAAGGATATCTACGGTAATCTCAGCAACCTTTTTATTGTGTAACTCAGCAAATGGATCCTCTGCACTGGCTTGTAGTAGCTTTGTTAATAGACTTAATCAACTACACAAATTTGAATGAGTGGGCTATTTATTGGATTATATTTTTACATATTACAGCATGATGTGACAGTTCTTTTTTCAGGGCGTTCTGGTAATATTCCTGTTGTGGAGGAGTTTGGATCTTTCGTGATGGATCTATTCCATTCAAAGAGTGACCTAGATCTATCTGTTAATTTTGACAACAGTTCAGTTAAGGTTTCACATGAGAAGAAGATTCAGACTCTCCGGAAATTTGCAAGGAAGTTATATGCACTTCAAAGTAAATCTTTGATTAATTCCTTCTTTTTCCTTGGTACTGTCTGCAGTTCATGGGTTACTATCTTTGTGGCTTAACCAAAATTTTAAGTATATTTTACTTTGAAGAGTAGGACAAATTTTAGAAGAAAAGTTGATTAACTGCTCTGATTGTTTTCTAGGTAAATAATTATGCCGCCACTTCCAAGAAATGGCTATTTCCATTAGTAGAACCATTTAAATAAAGCTTTTCATCTATGGCTTTCTGTGCTTCAGGAGATGGGCATGTTTCTGGCGTTCATCCAATAACAGCTGCCAAGGTGCCCATTCTGAAAGTTGTTGATTGTGGAACGAAAATTGAGTGCGATATATCAGTTGAAAACAGGGATGGAGTTTCAAAGTCTAAGATAATCCACATGATTTGTTCACTCGATGAAAGGTTTCAGAAGCTGAGCTTTTTGGTAAAATTCTGCTCTCTTGTATGCTATGCAATATGCACAGTTGTTCATGAAACGAAGTTAAAGTTTAGTTCTGCTTGTGCAATAGTTTGGAAGATCTCTTATGTGATTCGCGGATGCGCAGTAGCAGTACCACAGGGCTACTAGTTCTTGACACAGTTGCCTGTGTGCTACCCAGTCAGAAAGTCATCAAGTTGGTGAGAAGGCCTGTGCTAGCACTTAAATGAAATAGGAGATTCATTATATCACTTTCTCTAACTCCTACTTCTGAGATAAATAATTTTCTGAAAATATATGGATTGGTAGTGGTAAATATAAACATTAGAAAGGCCATGTGACTTCCGTAGCACATTGGATGAATTTTACTTAGAATGAACACGAAAGGTACAAAAAGAAGAAAGATGGAAATCAAAGTTGTGGTTTGTAAAAGGACTATTATATACATTTTTGGGTTTACGTTCTGATAATATACCCCTCCCCTCTGGAACCATGGTCTAGTGGTCCAAATGCTCATCGGTTCTTGTTGCTATATTAGTTTCCTTTCTCTTATAAAAATTGCTCATCAGTTCTTGTTCATAGAAGAAGATACAGGGGTCAACTTATGTATATGCTGATAGATATCTTTAGTTTGCATCATTGTATTTACATCCTCAGAAGATATGATCTCTTGTTTTTGCAGATGAAAGCTTGGGCAAAAGCTCAGAATATTAATAGCTCAAGAGACAAAACTTTGAACTCATTATCTATAATACTTTTGGTTGCTTTTCATTTACAGGTATGAGCCGAGTACGAATTGTTTCTCTGTTGCTATCTTACTCTTTGTTTCTTGGTTGCATATTGTGGAATTCGTGTGCAGATTACTTTGAGTCAATATGAATTTTGCCTTCAGTTGAATGTTTTGTCACTGTGGTTAATCAGTCTGAGCCTAGGAGCTACTGGTGAACTAATAGTTTACATAACCATACACAGTTTACTCTACGGTGAAATCATATTATTTGATTCTAGTCTGCTGTGGTTTTTCAACTTATTCAATGCTCTTTCATGATTATGTTACCTTTAGCTTCCTGTATTCCAATAGGAATCTTCATTCTAGAAATTTCCAATGCTATGGGATACAATACCTTATATGAAAGCTACTCCAAGCACAATAAAATTCCCAAATTTAAAAGTGTGCTTTCAACGCCAAATTTAGGCAACCTCTTGTACAATTGGTGTTGCTCTTGTAAACTTCTTTGCTGCTGGATTTTACCTTTTTTTTTTTGTCAATTCATAGAAAAAGAAAAATGTAAAAGTCTATACTTTATAGGAAGCCAATAGCTTATTTAACTTCTTCTCAATTTCTTTTCCTCATAACCTTAGAGCCCGTTTGGATGGGCTTATTTTAAGTTACTTTTAAGCCAAAATAGCTTTTAAGCCATAAGTTAGGAATTCTAGCTTTTGGCTTTTGTCTTGTTTTTGTCATTTTAGCTTAAAAACAAGTGCTTAAAAGCACGTTTTTACTCTATCCAAACACTACAAAATGGCTTAAAAGTTATTTTTGGCTTAAAAACACTTAAAATAAGCCAATCCAAACGGGCTCTTAGCTTATTCAGATTAACTTTAATGTTTCTGCTGCGGAGTGCTGCCTAGTTAAGAATTATGCCTTTTGATTTAAATTCGAGGAGGACATCTATTTTGAAAGCATTGCCTTTTTGTTTGTTTTACTTTTTCTGAAAGGAACTTTATGTGCGCTGAAAAGTATGTGTAGATATCTCATTCCTTCCTAGAGTGCTAGTCATGTAGTTGTTTAGTTAACAATCTGTTGTTTTTCTCATTTGGGCTCATATGAAATTCTCCATCTAATGAATGAACTTTGCAGACACGAAATCCTCCAATACTACCGCCATTTTCTGCCATATTAAAAGGTAATGCTCTGAATCTTTACTTGTTCAGTTTTCAAACGCAGCTTGATAGGTATTTACTAATTTCAGTATCGGTATTCGATACACGATGCAGTGAAGTACTTTATTAGTAAAACAGAATTCCCAAAGCAAAATTCCCAAGAATGAGGGTCAAATAGGAAATCCTTATATCCTTTCAGTCTGCTATAGATAGTGAGGAATTTAAACCATCTCAATAGACTAGATTCTAAATTTCAAGAAAAACATTGTTGAGATATTTTACTCAAGTAGATTCTAAATGATGCTTCTAAATGCGCTATTTTTTTTTTTCATGAGATTTTTGGTTTTGAGTAGCTTGGTATTATTTCTTGGCTTGGGAATGTTGTAGATGGCTCTGATCCTGATTCAGTGGAAAAGTCGTTGAATAAGTTTGTGAACTATGGGAAGAGCAACAAAGAGTCAGTGGCTGAGCTGCTAGTTACTTTAATAATCAAGGTATAGTTAATTTTAGTAAATCTGGCTTTATCTTGAAGTGTGCCAAGTATTGTTTCTTTTCGTTGCAGTTATTATCGGTCGAGAAACTATGGGACAAAGGACTATGTGCAAGCACCTATGAAGCATCTTGGCTATCTAAAACATGGGATTCTAAAGTTTGCTGCATCAGTGTAGTTATATTTCGATTATTAAATTCCTTTCTGCTTAGCAATCTTTGAGGCGCTGAATTAATGGCTGATATTGATCTTCACAGGTTGAGGATTTCACAGATCAATCTCAAAATGTCGCAAGGGCTGTTGGGAAAGGAGAAGTAAAGCAGATATACAAGTGTATCCAGCGTACTAGCGAATACATCTCTGCTTATATGGATGGCCTTGTCGAATTACCAGCGTTAAGATATCAATTATTCCGCCATGCTGCTACTCCCTTTCAAGTGGATTCTCAGACAAGTAACATTGAAGAAAATGGAAATAGCATTGCACTTCCTTGTAGAGATATCATGAATAAGGAGGATCAAAGTACAGAAGGCCAGAAAGAAAGTCAGGGGGCTATACCTTCTGAACCTATCACGACGAAAAGGAAATGGTCTAGCGAAGGTTGGGAAGGATTAGCTTCTGAACCTATCACGACCAAGAAGAAATGGTCAACCGAAGGTTGGGAAGGATTAGCTTCTGAACCTATCACGACTAAAAGAAAATGGTCTACCGAAGGTTGGAAAGAATTACCTTCCGAACCTATCACGGCTAAAAAGAAATGGTCTAGCGAAGGTTGGGAAGGATTAGCTTCTGAATCTATCACGACCAAGAGGAAATGGTCTACCGAGGGTTGGGAAGGATTAGCTTCTAAACCTATCACGACCAAGAGGAAATGGTCTACTGAAGGTTGGGAAGGATTATCTTCAGTGAGTTGGGGACTGTCAAAGGAGGACGGTGTACAACCTGACTCTCTCTGGACAAAAAGAAAAAGATCAGAAGAAACCACAGGAGGAACTTCTTCTGCTCAATGGTTGAGAAAATCAGACACAAAACGTTGGTTCGCAAGAAAGAACAACAATAAGTGTGCACCTAAGGCTAAGAGGTCAAACACACATACACGAGGTTGGGGAGGAAGACGATGAACCATTTGATTCGACGGATTTGACCTCTGGTTGGGTGAATAGCTAGCTAGCTTTGCCTGGTTATCATTCATACCAACTTCTTTGATTTGTCCTCGTTCATACGCCAGAAGTATCATCTGCCCATCAACTTTTACATTCTTGCTAGGACTTAGGAGTATCTTGTATGAGCTAGCTTCCCCTTGTTATCCTCTTGCTTTGTACTTGTTTTGTTAGGACATTTTTGTACAGGCAATGACCTAACAAAATGGAGTATTAACTGCTCAATGTACATTAATTCTGTGTACCTAATGAACATCAAGGAGTGGAAGTGTAACAACTATAACGTAATCGTTAGATGATTTCTTTCCATTTGCCTATGCCAGCTTGATGGCAAGAGTTACCCGATACATAGGAGATAGCAAGTAAAGGTGCATGCAAGCTGGCTTAGACGTTACCATTATAAAAAATATGGAAATTGACCAACAGAAATCACCAATAAGTAAATTCCATCACATTTATTTTATAATAGAAGCTAGAATCCAACAAAAACAGACTAAAATAAACCAAGTTTTAAGTACTAGCTGAATTAAGTAAATGATCTCCAACATAGTTTGACATAACAACAAAAAGGGTCTCTAGATTTTCTTTCCTATAACAATGTTTATATTATCTACTATAGATTTGGCATCCATTGATATGCCAAATAGCCCTCTTTTTGAAAAACCTGCACAGTAAAGCCCATTCTCTCCTTTCCAATGGTTTGGAAATTCATTTATCAATGTTCCATCATCAAGGAAAATGGAGCTATGATCCTGCACAAGAATATTTCACAAATTTTAGAAGAAAAATATTAAATAAAAATAGGGCTTAACTTCTATACAATGACAATGTAAGTTAAAGTCATAATTACTTCTAATAAGTGAAACTAGTAACCTGAAAAATGAGGAAAATAACTTTCTACAACACTGATAGTGTAAAGTTTCATTTATGTAAATATAAGTTAAATCTATAAAAGTATTAAGTGAATGAGAAAAATGCGACTTTTATGTGCGCGCGAACACATATATTCATGTTTGCTCTAAAGCAAAGATGTTGAATAAATTAAACTGTATTTGGAGAACTTACTCTTACACAATACATCTACTAATGTGAGATCAGTCGAATTTCTTTCCATTTAAGTAGAAGAGATCAATATATTATGTGAATTTAAATTTTTTAAAAAGTGGAACAAGCATTTATGATAAATTTAACCTCTCCATACTGAAAGTATACAAAATTTATACTACGAGATAACCTAAGATAAATGTATCATCGAGAAAAGTGAAATTAGTAACTCTAGAAAATAAGATAAGTTATTTGTTACAATATGTTCCACTTGCCTAATAGAGACTATCCTTAAAATGGAGTTAACTTATATCTACCAACTGTATAAAGACTTTTTATACTATCAATATTCAAGACTCAAACATATAGAAAAACCATAGAACAATTAAGACAAAGAACAAAACTTTTTTAACAACTGTTTTTTCTATGGGTAAATTTTAATAATTGTCTCGACAATTTATAACACGTACCTTTAGCCATTTGGTAGCTGCATTCTTATATCCAGTAGCAAAAATTATTGCATCAAATTGATGTTCTTCCCCATTGTCAAATTCTACTGTATGTTCCTTTATTTTTGATATTCCAGGAAGTACCTAAACATTCACCAAAAATGATTTCACAAAAACTAGCTTGCCAATCAAGTGTTTGCATAAAAAATTATCAAATTAAATCAATAAACTAAACGAATTTAACTTCTATATATTGACAGTAAAAGAATTTTATACTATTAAGTCACCTAAAAAATAATTATATATACCCGCTAGCTGCAATATGTTAAATTTTACTTATAGTGTAAAAATTACTTACACTGTAGTATTATTAGTTAAATCCTAAACTATAGTTAGCTAATGGTAAGCTTCATGTTTTCAAAAGGTAAATCAAGCCATCTGTTTTTTTAATAACCAAGAAATTTTCAAGGGCTAGTCAGAGGCGGAGCCTGGATTTTAACTTTATGGGTTCTGAATTTTAGAACGACGACTTTTAAGTACTAATAACTGAGTTCTAATTTATATATTTTATATAGTTAATGATTTTTTTAACACAATTATACTGTTTGAGCAAAAGTTACTGGGTTCAGTCGAAATGGCACACGGGCTTCTAGCTCCGTTGCTGGGGCTAGTGATGCACAATTCAAAACTCATTGGATAATGGACATGTCTCTCTATCCTTCTTCACTTTAATACCCGACTTTTACCTAAAGCAGAGTTTGAACTCATGATGTTTGCCTAATCAACACATCACGAGTTGCGCGCTTATCACTAGACCAATACTCTGCGCGTGGGCAAATCATTTGCAAGCCACATGTTTTTCACATAATATTTGTACAAAATTGAATGAAAAATTAGTATTCTTACCTTAATCTCTCCAAGTTTAATCTTGTCAATTGCACCAACATCAATTACTGGAGATCTACCTTTTGATATTTTGATATAAAATGGGCCTTCTTCTGGTTGAGGTATTCCCAATTCTGCCAAATTTCCAAATCTTATCTTAGCACACTTTGCAATCAGAGTATCTACCAAAGATATTGGTAGATATTTTAGCAATAACATTCCAGTATGCACCATTTCCCTTGTTAGAACATGAATCTGCAAACACATTAGGAGAAAATAAATCCTTTAGTAAAAGGTAATTAACTAATTAACAACCATATTTAACTTGTCGAGAATATCAGGTATAGTGGATATAAAAATAAATTTAAGTTTTATGCATTGACGGTACGAATATTTTTTATACAATTAGATCAATTATAAGGTAATTATGGATAAATCTCTACGATAAACATTAATAAGTAACCAGATAAAAATGATGATGAACATGCTATATATTATAGATGTTAAATTATGTACATTATTAGTGTAAAATTTATTCTACGGTGTCGGTGTATATAATTTAAATACAAAATACTTTCATTAAGAGGTTATAATATGAAACTACTCCTCACACAACCTTGCAACATTTGAAAATTTTCAGATCTAAATTTGAATTATTAATTTTTGACCTCGAGATAAAAATGTACATCATTTTGCTTTCATTTCAATGTAATTTATAGTTGTATACAAGATACAAAGTTAAGATTCAAGTTGAATTTTTGAACTCTAGTCGGTTTTAATTATATTTAAGCATTTATTTTTGTTAATTTTAAGATACATATAACTAAAAAATAAAATACGTTTTTATCATATTTTTATTCTACTCGCAAAAATAAACTAAACCGATATCTAGTAAAAACCAAGAAAAATTCTAGAGAAACTTGAGAACAAATGATTGAAATTTCTTGAAATTTGGATAATGTTTAGAATGACAAAACGAAGATAATATACATAGTGATTCTATTGCACTCTAATGCACTTTCGTCTACAAAAAATAAAGAAAAAGCATTTAGGGCAAGTTTATTAATGCATGAATGATAAAAGACATTTCAAGAAATTGGAATGTGGGAAATGACCAAAAGAACAATATCAAAATTTGATTGGAAAAATTATCCATTTGTGTGGTGTATGTGAAATACTATAAAAATATCTATATAAATTTAATTGTGAGAGAATAGATATATATAGAAAATGCAATAATAGGTGAGAAGGTCAATGGCTTATGTCACTAATCTAATGAAGAAGGGTGAGGGACACTCTTTTTAACCATTATGGAATATTTGGTAGCCCTTTTCTTATTTCTTCGATAATAGAGTTGACTTCTGTAGCAGGTTGTTTCGAGTATTTTCTAGGAAAATAAGAAAATACTATAATAACATATATGCATTTCATTCTCTTCGACATTCTATTTTATTGCTTTGTGTGAGGTCGCATCGAGAGGTGTTGCTTGCTATTTAAGAATTACTTCAAGGATCTCATCGGACATGTTTGATACTTCTTGGAGCTTCTTTCGAACTGTGAAGTCACCAGATGAATTGTCGAGTAAATTTCTATCATGCCCTTCCCTTTGTGCACCGACTTCTTGCGCTAAAGCAATTGCAGCAAGTAAGAGAAAAGTGCCACATCATTCCATATACCCTTTTTCTTATTTTTTGATAATATAGTTGGCATCTATAGCAAGTTATTTCGAATATTTTCTAGGAAAAGAAAATATTATAATAATATATATGAGTTTCGTTCTCTTCAATATCCTTTTTTTATTGCTTTGTGTGAGGTCGTATCGAGAGGTACTGATTGCGATTTAAGAATTGCTTCACGGGTCTCCTCGCGCATGTTTGATGCTTCTTGGAGCTTCTTTGAAGCTGTGAAATCACCAGAAGAATTGCCAAGTAAATTTATATCATACCCAGTAACTTTTGCTCAAATAGTATATTTGATGTTTAGAATTCATTAAATAGGTAGAAATATTAAATTTAGAACCCAGTCACTAACTCTTGAAGTCATTCTAAAATTCAGAACTCATACGGTTGAAATTCTGACTCCGTCAACTAATTATTTTTTGGTAATTAAATCTTTATATTAACCACCAAAGTAAATATTTATAAAGCAGTAGGTCACCTCGACCTACTTCCTTACTGGAAAACAACTCTCTCTATATCTTCCCTACCTCCTAATCTCTTTTGTACATTTCTCTCTCAAGCTAACTACTCAGTATTTATATTTTGTTAAAAAGACATGAGTATAACCCTCAGCTCTAATGTTGCACATGCATACCACTCTCCTTGCAAGAACATCATGTGTTATTGCTTTCTTCTCAAATATCCTTGTATTTCTCTCATTCCACACCGTATGTGTATATTCTGCAAATACTAGTTTGAGTATCCTAGCCAGTTGAGATCGCCCCTTTGTTTTCTTTACAATCCAGTTCTGCCATTCAGACTATGATGTTGTAAATGGTTGATGCACCTGTAACCATTTCATGAGTTTGTACCATATATTTCTACTATATGCACGTTCTGCAAAGATGTGATCCCTTGTTTCTGGTGCTTGATTGCAAAAGCAACATGTATCATCCACTTGTAATCCCCAGTTCTTCAATCTGTCAGCAGTGAGCAGTCTTTCCTGTATTTGTAGCCACATTGTGAAGGTTGCTTTTGGTCGTGCTTGATTCTGATACATTAAACCTTTCTATGGGACTTTAGGCAGCTCTCCTAACAGTTGCAGGTAAATCTGCTTGATTACTGTCCTTTGATTAGCTTGGCTATTGCTGATGCCATCCAGATTACCTCTTGATCCAAATATTTTCCTTACCATCCAAGATGCCTGTTTTGGTGCTTCCATGATGACAAAGATTTGATCCTTGATGTAGTAGCTATG